AACAAAGTAGTATAGGTTTATTACCTCCAGACCAACAGAAGAGCACATGATAAATGTCCACCAGGCCGCATGTTGGCGGTGCATTGGCAAAGCCCTCGCGCCTGCATTTACGTACTTGCGTGATTATAAAAGCCCTTGACACCCTATAGAAAACACGTAATGGCCTGGCAACCGTTGTTCTGACGACTTTTTCACATTCAAGCACCACTCAGTTGTTCTTCAGGAAATGTAATGTCCTGTTTATAACTAAACTAATAACAACAGAAGAACTCCAGGGTGTCATTTTGTAGGCAAACCCAGAAGTTAGCATTACCAACCAGGGTTCCCTTGAAAAAACAAAAAACAGGATTTTTCTACAGGGTTTTGGATTATTGCAGAAAATAGGCTCTGTGATCAACAAAAGTTTTTGTTCATCAAGATTGAACATTGAACGTTTGAAGCCTAAATACAATCGCCAGAAGTTAAAAGCTAAACTTAAGCTATTAATGAACTTCAACACGCTCAACTTCAACGTCACCACTAAGCTTCTGACAACTCTTTCAATCATTATTTAAAATCTACACGTTGGAAACTCTGAGTTAGAATAGTTTGCAACAGCACAGGTATACGCACAAAGAGGCTGTAATAGCGGACTGAGTAGGTGCTTTTTCCTGTTCTGTGTAATGATGTTAAATGTCTCTGACAACCTCAGTAGTCCTATTTAGCCATTTGCTAGCAACCGCCTTTTTCAAGAAACATAGAAGGCATTCATAATTCTTGAGGGGGCCATCATGTACCGGTGTGAACCACAGCCACAATAGCACTGTATGACAGATGTATTGCTTTAGTTTTTCCTTTTTTATTCAAAATATTCACAAACTTGTTAAAGGGATACTCCACCGTTTTTTCATATAAACTGTTATTCCCTTAACTATGTATGCGTGTAAAGTGGATAACTATAATGTATGGCGGAATACCACAGCAAGTGCTTGGGAGCACTTTGAGTCGGCGCATATATATCTATGGACTCGGCGCAGTAATATCATCACTCCGGAGAGGGAGAGGATTTTTCACGAGTGATGATATTACTGCGCCGAGTCGAAGTGCTCCCAAGCACTTGCTGTGGTATTCCGCCATACATTATAGTTATCCACTTTACACGCTTAGAAAAGCGCAACGTTTTATTTTGTGTCACCATCCTTGGTCGAGTTACACTACTCGTGTAACTGTATTTAAATAGGGAAAACATGGAGGTGTTTGCTCGCTTCTCTGCTTGGCACGTATTGAATGAACTGTGCTATCAAAGTGTCACCGCGCGTCAGAGCGATTGAGTGCACGCACTGAGACGAGAGAGGTATGTATCAACTCGTCTTAGTTAAGGGAATAACATTTAATATGAAAAAACGGTGGAGTATCCCTTTAACTATATCATTAACTATTTGTTATATGATTGTCAATTGTGTAAGTGAATGTGTTTAGTCATTTAACCACCTTTACAGTGATCATGTTAGTTGACTCGGGATAGGTGCCAGCATGTTAATGTGCTCCACAATTCTGAGAATTGGATCTGTTTGATTTACATCACGTAAATTAATCTACTTCTCCCAAAAACGTATACAAGTAAGGGGTTGGTGAACTGGGAGTAGAAAAGAGTCAACTTTATACCTATACCTAGGAAAAATTGATACCGAGTGTGCACAAATCAGATCTGAGGAGGGGAATACCCCCTTTTGCCCTCTTGTGGTGTCAGGCATGGAATTAAGTGTAAACATATCTTGAGCTTGTGGTAACAACATACCTTATTTTGGGTGTTTAACCAAAAACCCATTGACTTTGGAACAATGGAGCCGTTTCCAGACTTTTCATTCGGCCTCACTCTAGTCGGCCAAATCTAAATGGTCAATAATGTGGTGCCTGTTTCCATAGGACCGTCCTGTTTAGGCTGAGCTAACCGTGAGTTTGCCACATGGATCATCTGGCTGTCAGCTAAACCTCCTCTGCGGTGTTCACATCTTTGTAACATGATGGAAACTCTTTCCTGTTACTTAGAGATCCTGACACTCTGACTACATTTCCACTTTAGTATGGCTGTGAGTCTGTTTGAGTCGGGTCCACGGGCGTGTGTCATGGCACCTATGTGGTGTGTTCTCGCAGGCAGGTTCGATGCAGTCACACACAAGCCTTCAGCATGAGGTAAACGGCTCTGTTTACTCAGGTGTGTCCGTTTTCTCATTCCCTTCCCTTCAAGGAGGACATCCCCTGCTTTTCCTCTTGCTTCTGTCTGCTTGTACCTCCGTCACCCACAGAATACATTCCGCAACTCCCTGACAAATAGGAGACGTGGAGGAAGTGTGTTTGATGTGTGTGTCCGCCGCCATGTTTGGGTTTGATGTTGTACAGGTTAGCTGTCGGAGTGTTTGATTCAGCAGGAGAAGAGGAGCTCAGTAACTGGTGACACACAAGCTCCAACCGTGTACTCGCCAAACACGGCGCTCTATTATACACATGGATCTCAATACCTCCAGACACGCATACATACAATGAAACTCTCAGATGTGTTGGCAAACACACTCTACTGTAAGGATTTTTTTTTTTGCTTTTCAGTCGCTCAGATTTGTACTTGCGCTACCAATATTTTCACTGGCCGCACCGTAAAAATATTTTTTTAGTAGCTCATTTCATGTTTATTACAAAAAATATTAATTTTACTTTTTTTTTCATTTTCCATCTTCAATTTTTTTTTTTTAACATCAATTAACAATTTTTATTTACAAGAATTTACTTTTTAACCCATTCTTCCAAGCTTTTTTGTCATCATTGCAAGAATCTTCAGTGCTGGGGAAAGTTTGTACACCCCATGATAACTGTAGTGCTATTTTTATTTTAACATTTTTGTCCTGTATTATTTACTTGTAATAAAATATCTAAGATTATTTTTCTGCTTGTTAGGTTCTCTGATTTGTACTTGATCTGCCAATATTTAAACTGGCAGCACCATATTTCTTTTTTAAGCAACATATTTGTATACTTACTACAAGATATATATATATATATATATATATATATATATATATATATATATAGGCTATATATATATGTGTGTATATGTAATTTAAATTATTTTACATTGTTGAATGTTGTAAATGTATTTATTCATACATTTAAAGGTAACTGTTTCTCCTTGAGGTTTATTCATCCAGTTCGACAGTTTATTCAGCCAGTTTGGCCTTTTAGTTCTATGTTTGACTGTCTACCTATCTCTGATCTAAGAGAAGAGCTGGCCTGGTTAATTTGGTTTGAGTTATTGTTTGTGTTTGTGTGTATGAATGCATTTTTTTCCCCTTCATTTGTTTATGTGTGTGTATGTCATGTGTGTGAGAGAAAAGAGCATTCGCTTAGGCTCATCTGTGGAGTAGAATGGGTCTGTCTCTATTTCTTTGGAATTTGTGAGCAGCTTGATGTATTTGACATCTGCGTGACAGGCCACTGCTCTTCAAGACTAACCCAGAAACTGTGCTGCCCAGACCAGCTGTGTGTGTCTGTGTGTGTATGGCATTGTGTTTGCACATCAGAGCAGCCATGCATTGCCACTGGTGGAAAAAATACACACAAACACACATCCACTGGCCCCTTTTTTTTAATACCCATCGCTTCTGTCATGAGATAAATTTTGACACCAACAATGAGTATGTGTCAAGTTGTCAGTTTATCTCTCTTCTTCTCTTCCTTTTATGCATCCACTTTGTCTCGTTCTCCCCCTTTTTCTTCACCTTATTTTTCCCTTCTCTCCATCTCTCTCAGGCCTTTAAGTCAAGACTGTCCATGAATAGTGCATGTTATTTTGTTTTGTAGATTTCTATTTGACAGTCTGTCTGTCTTTTTTCTTTTTATTGTTTTGGTTTAGCAGAAATAACCGTAAGAATCGTGTCCAGACTGGGCTGCACCAAACCCTCCAGAGCGTCTTTTTCTCAAGAGTCTCCTTGTGCCGTTATTGCAAAACCTTGCTGTAACTCTAACGGTTATACAGCCCTATTTCCACTCATGAACACATCCGCACACTCTCACATGTGCACCCATGTCCTTTCTCAAATCAGGACGTAACCTTTTTAATGCTGTTACTTTAATGTTATTAACAGGACATTTTATTTTACTCTAAAAGTCAAGACCCATTTGGGCGAAGTCTAGCCGTTCTGCGCGCACTCACAAAAAGCCCTTCCCATGTGAAAACACTGCCATTATTAACATTGCTGAAATGTGAAACTCGGTCTCCGTAAATGTCAGGCAACATAGGGCATATATATGGCCCTCTTTCTCCGTTAACGTCTCGGCTGTGTGTCTACGTTCTTAAGGGAACAGCGTGACCATTCTGCCGAGCTGCTTGACGGGGGTCTCGGGCACGGAGGCCAAAGCGGGGTCACTGATGTAACACCCCCCACCGTCCCACCTGAACGGGGTGAGAGAAAGCCGTCTCTCTTGCACCTGCAGTGAAGAAATAGAGGACGTGTGTATGTCGCAGAAGGACGGGAGTGAGTGCACTTGTGAAATTTATTTGGGTATCAGAGTTTTACACCGGTTGCTGTTGGATTTACAGGTCGGAATGGAATGCAGCCCAATGAAACGCTCTTTGATGGGCAGAGCAGGTTGAGTTTTAACAGACGAGCGATGCATAGAAGGCCATAGTTTATTTGGCTTTGAGAAGACTCTCTGCTAGAGCCGTAAAAGCCTGAGATACCCATGAACGGGAGCACTATGGGATGGCAGCAGAGGGTTCTGGGTAATTTGCTCTGACTAGGAAGAGACACTTGTTATAGTGCGTGAACTTTTCCTCTTTTCTAGCTCTTTAATTGTGTAGATGTGTGAATGCTTTTACATCTAGTTTTGCATTAATTAGCTGGTAATTTATTTGTTAATAAAGCCCACTATGGACTTTCCAATATACTGCCTGATGAAAACATTAAAGAATGTGTGAATAAAGTCTTCATTTATGTGTATTTTTTTTTTTTTTTTTTTCATCACTACAGAGGCGGAGGCTTATACAGGAACTGGGGGAGCAGAGGATTCCCTACCTTTCTCCTACAGACCCAGGATTTCAGGAACTGGTTAGACATTTATACAAATATCCACACTAGTTCATAATTTCAAGTCTGATATATGTACACTACTGTTTAAAAGATTGGGGTCAGTAAGATTTAAAAAATATATTTTTAGCAACACGGACACATTAAATTGATTAAAAGTGACGGTAAAGACATAGGCCCAGTTTCACAGACAAGGCTTAGATTAAGCCATGATTAGGCCTTAGATTATCCCAAATTCTCTAACGGTTGTGTGTAATATAAAGATTTCCATGGATTTCTGCGGTCATGGAAAAGTTAAAATCAAGAGGCATGGAAACCGATAAATAATTTTGGTGCCATTATCATCATCAAACAGAACTGCAAAAACTAGTTTCAAACACCCCTGCTCAATATTTGAGTTTTGCCCCAAACACACACTGTTTGGTTGGCCCACTGTTATGCCAATCTCCAGCCCATTAGGGCAGATCAATAAGATTTCAATTCTGTAATGAATGTAATTCGTGTAATGCCGCTATTCGTGCAGAAATGACACACTTCACATCTAAAAGTTTTGGAATTTCTCTAGGGAATATGTTTTCCATGTTTTTTCTGCTCTAAAACATTTAACTGACATGAACTAGAAAATGCTTTTCAGTGAATTGGTTCACGAATCAGTCAAAATGATTAATAAGCAAATCAGTCTGAATTTTTATCAATTAAAAGAAAAGATCTAATTGTCACAAACAAATGGAAAGAAAGAACGTGTGGAGACTCCCGTAAAGATATTGACAATGACATTAGGACAGATTGCTCACATGTTTTTTGTTTTTAATAATTACATTATGTTTGCTTGTGTCTGTAATCTGACAGTGGGACTCCAGTTACACAGGACTGGCTTTACGGCAGTCTGGTACGCTGCCAGATGGTCTTCATGAGAAGGTGCAGTCTGCTCTGATAACTCTACAGCGGCGTGGATGTCTCCTCCGAGATCTTGTCCGAGTCCGAGACCGGGATGTTTTTACGGCTGTTTCGCGTGCTCTCGTGGGTCAGCCGGGCTACACGTACCGTTATCTGGACACCCGTCTGTTCACCATCCCCTGGCACTGTGAGGGAGAAGAAGGTCAGAAAGATGAGAAAGAGAAACAGTGCTGTGACTCTGACATGAGGGACGCTTGCAAAGCATTGTGGGAGCTCAATCAGTTCTTTTGCTCGGACGTAAAGCAGACAAACGCGAGAGGCGTCAAGCGATCCCGCAGTGACACCGAAAACAGCGAAGACACACCAGGGGAGGGGACGTGCGAAGAGAGTGTTAAGGACAGGTTACTTGAGAAGCAGGAGGAGGAGGAGGAGGAGGAGGAAGACAGCGGTCAGGGCTGCTCTCATTCCTCACCTCCTTCATCCGCTCCGCCACCTGCTATATCCAGCCTGGTTCAGTTTAACGTTACCCTCATCAATTACATGGACCCCACTGCCATGACTCAACTGAAGGAAGAGCCTTATTACGGCATGGGCAAGATGGCAGTTGGTTGGCATCATGACGAGAACCTGGTTCCTCTTTCACCAGTTGCTGTCTACAGCTATAGCTGCCCAGCAGAGCCAAAGAATGAAGGTGAGGGGTCAAAAGTCTTGAGTAGAGCATGCAAAATAATATTGTCTCTGAGTCGTGGGACCATGAGGCTCTAGTGTGGTTCGCAACATCTTTAACTCCAAGGCCTGTACTAGAGTCTATTATGTCAGTTTACTGTTGTACATCTTTGTTTTAGTGTTTTTTTAATTTAAGATTATATTAATATAACCTGACACATGTCTTCAATCCGTGTCCTGAATCTGTGCTCTGCTTTCTTTTCAAAAGTTTCATGTCCCCCTCTTCACTCTTTTTGTCCAGTAACTTAACTCTCAGAAATAGGAATCAAATAATTTTTTTTTTTTTTTTTTTTTATAAAATAATAATTTATTTATTTAGTAATACATTGTTTAATGTATTAATTTATTTAAATAATATAATGTTCCACTTCAAAAAGACCTTCCATAATAGATTCAACTGCATTGTCCCCCCCCCCCCCCCCCCAGAAAAGTTCATAATCCGAATTGCATTAGTTATTAATTGATAATTACTGCTTAATAAAAAGCATATACAGGATAAAACATATATTTACATTAAGATTCATTAAAATTTGCATTGTGACTAAGAAATTCAATCGCATATAGAGCTGGTAAGTCCCGCCCCTTCCGCTTACCCCGTTGGACCTCTAGGTTGAAAAATCGTCAATGCAAGTGAATGAGAGAAAATAATTATTTTCTAATCCCGTTTGAATTTTGCAATGAATGTGAACATGTTGTCTGTTAATTTTTTATAGAATTTTTCGTGTAAAGAATGCTACAATTTAGCCGGTAGAATTTTCATACGGTTAGACTTTGTGTGAGAGCACTTTGTGGACTACAACTCTTCGCTGCTTTCGACGCGTTTGATATACGTCACCACCACTAGCACACGGATCCCGCTAAACATGCCTGTGTCTTTGGTGCACTTCATGGTGACATTTGGGTACAAAACACACAGGCATCTCGATCTAATTCCTTAGATTATCGCACCGTGATTTGTGGAGGGAAAATGTGTTATGCGGTGAAGTCTTTCTCGTTATGTTTATTCCACAACTGCTAGCCAAAGAATCATACAATATACTGTCAAACTCGTTACATGAGAAATTATATAAAAAATTCACAGACAACATATGTTCACATTCATGGCACAATTCAAACGGGATCAGAAAATAATTATTTTCTCTCATTCACTTGCATTGACACTTTTTCAACCTAGAGGTCCACTTGGAGTTTTACGGATGGGCGGGACTTACCAGCTCTATTGTCTTAAAGCGATAATTAACTAAAAAAGTCTGTTATTATTTACTCACCCTCATGTCGTTCCAAACTTGTATGACTTTCTTCTGTGAAACATAAAATGAGATATTTCAAAGAACAGTTTTTGTCCAAACAGTCATAGTCCTTGTAGTCCAAAATTTTTTTTTTTTTTGTATGTTTTTTTTTCTTCCATATTTTCTTTATGTATGTTCTGGAGAATTTTGATTGAACTCTCTCTTTTAACATTCCCACCCATTACATTTTTATTGAAGGGCCAAAACAGTCCTGTATTTTTCTAGCTCACCACTGCTGAGAACCTAAAACATTTATTATGACACCAACCAGTTCAAAATCATCCTTCACTTGATAGCTTGAATGTGCTCATGCAGCCATTGTATGAACTTGCTCCATGAAGGGGCCAGATCTTCCATATTTCACACGAATCTCACTGGAGAAGGACGTGTCTCTCTTCACGTCAGCCTAACAGCTTAGCATGCAGCTGTGTGCATGTGTGTGTCAGTTCGACAGAACAGAGCGTGGTGTGCTAACCAGAACCACCTGCCTCACGAGCTCTGTTTCGCCAATCTCTTACTGACCGATTTGACCTTTGACCTCCCCAGGGCCCGCTTCAAACAGTGCATGAATGGTTTGTGTGTGTGTTTTTGTGTGTGAATGTGTCAGTTTGTGTGGAATTATTCCGCAGCTGTTCTTTTGGAGGTAAAATTGACCCCTCAGTTCCAGACTTCAGAGAGAGACTCCCCTGATTGAACGCTTTTGCAGCGCGTACGCACCCGTGCAGGGCATCGCCCAAAATGTTGCCTTCACTTTGTAGAAATCGCTATGAAATGCTGCAGACCAGCTGAAACAGATTGTTGCTCAGAGGAATTTCACTTTGTACATCATTTATTTGTTGCTATGTGTGTTGCATGAATGTTGTTTTTTTATTGTCTCTTTGGATAACATCTGTGTTGTATAGATTTGTGTTTCACCTGAACACTTTGAAGAGAATGCCTTACTGATGCTTTTCATGTGATGGGTTTATAGAGTATGTTGGCCGTGCTGCAGGGGAGTCACTCAGTGACAAATCTGTTCAGCTCTTCATCCAACATTGACTAGATCCAGCTCATTTCCTTTTCTAACAGGCATTAGTTTATGCCACTGTGATTTTGAAGTGTTTTTGAAGGAATCTTTTCCGTCACTGCTGTGTTGGCTGCAGATGGCCTTTTGAGAGCTGTGTCAGAAATCACAGGCTGAAATTAAGTTACTATTTATCCCTGCTGAGCGAAGAGAAAGCCTTGCTCAGGGCTCATGCTTCCAAGAGTGCTTTAGTATTGATTTTACTGATAGGTGTCAGCCTGCCCTCTCGATTTCTTTTCTCTCATCAGTTACACTTTTATTCTTTATTTTCTTTTTGGCTCTTTATTTGTCTTTTTTTTATTTTTATAACACAGACATTTTTTCCGTTGGTGGAAGTTGAACGACTTATGCTACAGGTCAAACAAATTAGAATAATTAAACCTTTTTTTAGTGTTGTTGAAAAAAGCCTCTTATGCTCAAGGCTGCATTTCTTTGATTTGATCAAAAATACAGTAAAAACAGTAATGTGTGAAATATTATTACAATACTGTACATACTATTACAGTACTGATTTATTTTAAAATGTAATTTATTAACGCGACAGCAAAGCTGAATTTTCAGTATCATTACTCCATCGTCACATGTTCCTTCAGAAATCATTCTAATATGCGGATTTGCTTACATCATTTATTAATAATGGCTCTTATTAGTATCAATGTTGAAAACGTTTGCTTCCTTTTATGAATAGAAAATTCAAAAGAACAGCATTTATTTGAAAGAAAAAAAAAACTTCTGTAACATTATAAATGTTTACTATCACTTTTGATCAGTAAAAGTATATATTTTTTTATTTACCTCAAACATTTGTAGTGTTTCACTGTTTCCACCAATATATTAAGGAACAAAAACTGTTTTCAGCATTGATGATAATAATATGAACTGTTTCTTGCACCAAATCAGCATATTAGAATGAATTCTGAAAGATCATGTGACCCTGAAGACTGGAGTAATTTAAATTAAGGAATAAATACAATTTTAAAATATATTTAAATAGAAAACATTAAATTGTAATAATGTTTTATTATATATTTCAATGTTCTGCATTTTTGAGCAAATAAATGCATGCCTTGGTGAGAATAAGAGACTTTAAAAAAAAACAAAAAAACAATTAAAATATATATTAAACTTAATCAAATTGAACATTTAGTTGTTAATACAGTGATGTCACAAATTTGATTTAAAATAAATACTTTAAAATAAAGTGTTACTATAGAAATTGAATATTGACCATTTAACGGTCATTGGCTATCACAAATAAATAATTATTAGATTATTGGTATTGTTTATAAATGATATACAGTAGGTACATCTCTGCTCTAAATGTCAAACTACGTCTGTGTTTACAGAGGTGACTGAGAAAGATGGTGAGGGACAGAGTAAAGAACAAGAAACAGAGACCGAGGGTGAAGGAACAAGTAAAGAAGAACCGAAGGAAGAAGAAGGTTTGGGGAAGGAGGAAGTGGAGAAAGAGAAGGTGTGTTGGCGTGTTGGCCTGAAGGTGGCCTGGGACATTCACACACCAGGTCTCGCTTTGCCTCTACAGTCTGGAGACTGCTACTATATGACAGGTACACAATCACATTCATCCGTGTCCAGAAACAGTAGACTCAAGTACATGTGTAAAGGGGATTGTATCGTCTCGGTCATGTTGAAATGCATTAGACCAGGAATTATCTTTCCCAGAGGATGTGCACATCGACATCCTTTTCTGTGCATGTGTGTGTCTGTTTCCCTAGGATTTGGCTTCCACGTGTTCCTTTATCATGAGAGGTTAAGCAAACCAAATGCTATTTTATGAATCGCTGTGACCCCTGTCTGAGAGCAGGACTGAGACAGGGAGAGAATCAGTAAATCAAGGCCTTTATTACTGATGGCTACAACAGATGCCCCCATCTACGACCCCACGTTTGCACAGACCCTCTCCTCTAAATATCCCATAAAGTGTTTGATGACCTTGATAAGGACACTGTTTATTTCCCGATTTCTGTGTACAAGCATGACTAATGCTTCCCCTCCATTGCACACATTTTATCAATCATCTTTGGACATTTTCATCTATTTGGAAAGGCTTTCCAGTGGCCGTACCTCTGTGTTGCTGGCTGCTCTAAAGTTAGAGTTATTTATACCTACCTAATGGTGCTCTCAGTCCTGTGAAGTGATTTTAAGTGTAAAGCTAAAGCAATATAAACATAATGGGTCATAATGGGTTTTCTGGGCACAGGACAAGGGTGAAAGTGTGACTGGGAAACTGCCTCATGAACGGTTAATGAGAATATGTCTTATGGCTGAAGGAAGGAAGGAAGTTCACATCAGGTGCATTTTTTAAGGGAAAATGAAGGAAAAGGGGGTAAAAAAGGTGAATGAAGTGAAAAGGAGGATGGAAGAAGCTGTAGTGTAGCAACCCACACCTCACATCAGGTGCTTTTTCAAGGATAGAAGGCATATGAAGTTAAATAGTGTAAAAGAAAGGAGGTAAAAAAGGAAGGTAATGTATTAGAAAATAAAAAAAAAGGAAAATGAATTAAAGGGAAAGAAGGTAAAGGAAGTATTAGGAAAGTAAAAAGGAAGGAAAATGAATTAAAGGGATGGAAAAAGATCAAATAAGTTCATAGAAAGGCGAAGGGAAGGAAAAGGAAAAAAGGGAGAAGGAAGGAAAGAAAAAAACAAAGAAGGAAGGGAGAGTGGGAGCTGATGGAAGACATACAGTAAATAACTTGCAGAATGATATTCAACTCCACATTCCCATCAGTCTCTAACACTGTCACAGCTCTTCCCCTCCATCCGCTGATGCCTGAGACTTCTGTGTGCAAATCTAATCAGTTGATTCTCAAAAATGGAATTTGGGGATGGTTAGCGGGAGCAATTTGTTGGACCGACACCGGCACAGCTGCTAATAAGATTTCGTTTGCTCAATGCTCCAGGGACAGGACAGACCTAGGGAGAGGTTTTGACCCAATAGATTTAAAAGCCCGCTTTTAACTCGAGTGCAGCAGCCACCTGACGATGAGAGAATAATAATAAATATTTATTAGAGGAATTTAGTAAGGCCCATGATTAATATTGAGGTTGTGACAGAGTCCAGGTTGAGAGATGCAGTGTTATTTGATAGCAAGTGTTTTAAAGTCAATGTAATGTGACGGGAAAGAATAATAGTATACAGAGGAAATTAAACAGATGTTACTGTTGTGCTGACTCGTCAGAGAATGTGGTGAATCCATTGATTTCAATGGGGCATATCCCTTTTAGTCCCTTTCAAAGAAAGTCACTTGTCTGACATATTTGCAACGCCTACTCAGATAAAAGTTGGTCTTGCATGCCCAAATTAGCTATTTAAATAAGGATGATATCTCAAAAAAAAAATGCTGGCCAAATACAAATCTAACATGAACGGTCTTATAAATGTTGTTTCTTATACTCTAATAGTGTTAAAAAGCATATTTTAGGTTGGTCCTGAGTGCGAGTCTCTACCGGCAGTTGCATTGGCTCTTTTTTTTGGACAATTTGCTCTTTTTTTGTTAGAAGGCAGGGCTTGCATTGCTAGAGCTGCCCTCGTATATTTACATTCTTTGGGCACATATAACCTCTGAATAAAGGCCCCAATATACTCACAGCGAAGTTCTTTTTCGTTCTTTGCTCAGGGGTTAAAATAGAAGTTTTATTTACATGAGCAGTGGTATATTTTGATGGGAGCAGCATTTAGATGAATGGGTAAATATGTGCTGCACACGCTTTCCTTTCATTAACAAAATAAATGCTGTGTTCAAGTTACATAGAAAATATCTTATTTATGAGTTGAATGCATGTGAATGCCACAACAAAGTCGTATTACAAGTGGGAAACTGAATTTTCTTTGAGCTCCAAGTTTCCAAGTTGGGGGCATGTTAGTGTCAAATGTGGTGAAATAAATAGATGCAACGTCTCTTGTGGACGTTAAATTTTCATAAATTAATTAAAAACATAAAAAGCAAAACACACCTGATGTGCATTCATTTTTCTTCATTTTCTATAAGTACTGTAGTTAAAAAAACCTTGCTGAATTTGTGTAGTTAATTAAGAAAAGGTTTGCTCGATGCACCATTTTTTTTTTGGATCCGATCCGATACTAAAAATTGAGTATCGACCGATACCGATCCGATACCAGCACAGGTTTTTTTATTTATTATTAAGTAGAATTTCTATAACTCTGTTTAACACACAAAAGAGTGAGTATCAGTTCAACACACAATCTACTTACTTAATACAGACAACTTCATTATAAAGAAAAACAACAAATCAAAAAAATATATGATCATAATCTATGGCAAAAATTCTAACTAGATTAGTGGATAATTCAGCAGCAAAATTTACTCTAGAAAAATCACGAGGGCACAATAATTTTATAAAATCTGAACATTTAGAAAAACAAACAAAAAAACAACAACATTATTTAGCGGGGAACAAATAAGAGACAATAAGTGTAGTACTAAATTTGGTAAAACGTTACACATTGCTCTTTGTATTGTTGTAAAATACATTCATGAAAAACAAGATAAATAAAAAATCAAAAGATAAAAAAAACGTTAAGGCTATAAAATTAAGATATTTTTTAAAGGTGCCCTAGAATGTGTTGAAATAATATTTTAATTTTGTCTCTGATATCTACATAGAGGGTACATAGATATGTGGCTTATTTAAGGGCATTTAAAATGTTAAAATGGTTTTACAGGTCCATTTTCAACTCTAGAAATTGGCCCTAGAATGAAATGGTCTGTTTTTACCTTATTTGGAAGGGTCATGAATAGTAATGAGGAGTTCTGCTCTGATTGGCTGTTTCACTTCACACACTCTGAAATACAAGCGTGCAAAATAATCATACGTCAGTTTTCAAAAATTAAAACATTTCAACAAATGGACTAACGTTAGATGCCTTGTCAAATAAATAGCTTCAACTTATGTGGTGGAGAATGTGACGTTAGCTAGAAGGATCGAGTGAGCTAACATTGTCTGTGAGCAACTAAACTAACGTAGTTAGCCCCTGACGTGTTGTTGATGAAATAGACAAAAGGAAATTTACATATCTACAGTATTATTTTGTAGATTTATATGACAGCACAGGCAAGAAATATTAAAGGGATAGTTCGGCCAAAAATGATATTTAAACCATGCATTACTCACCCTCAAGCCGTTCGAGATGCATATGTCAATCTTGTTTCAGACGAACACATTTTCAGTTATTTTAGAAAATGTCTTAGACCCTTCAGTGGATATAATGTGAAGCAATGGGGTCCACCTCCTTCAAGTCCCAAAATGTGCATATATCCTTCACAGAAGTAATCCATCCGGCTCCGGGGGGGATAAACGAAGGCCTTATGAGGGTAATCCGTGCGGTTTTGTCGTAAAAATATACATAAAACTTTATAAATGAAAATATCTGACTTCCGGCAACGATCGACGCGCGTCCACGTTTTTTTTTAATTAATTTTTTTTATTTATTAAATCTTAACAATACAAACAGCAAGACACACAAATAAAGTCATTAATACAGAAAACACAATATTAGACAAGAACAGAGCCAGGGGAAGTTTCAAATAAATACATTAAAGATAGAGCATAACTGAATGGTTTTAGCAGCCTTCTTATTTTGTGAATCATAAATGGATTTGATGTACTGTTCCGCCTCCTTACCAAAAGCAATAAAGGAAGGTTTAGAATTACTAAATTTGGCTTTGTGAATATGATATTTACCTAAAATGATCAATAGATTAATAAGGTATATTTCTTTCTGTTTTTTACCTTTGTCAACATGGAGACCAAACAGCACATCCCTCCATAACAAAGAAAAATCAGCGATAAGTTTAACAGTAATGTATCGGGACAGATCTTTCCAGAACGCGCGTCCACGGGTGATGGAAGTCGGCGTACGAGGTAGTACGTAGCGTCGTGACGTAGAACGAACGCGCCCGCGCAGCCAGAGAGCAGAGCAAAACATCACCCGTGAACGTGCGTCGATCGTTGCCGGAAGTCAGATATTTTAATTTATAAAGTTTTAAATATGTATATATTTTTCGACAAAACCGCACGGATTACCCTCATAAGGCCTTCGTTTATCCCCCTGGAGCCGGATGGATGACTTCTGTGAAGGATATATGCACATTTTGGGACTTGAAGGAGGTGGACCCCATTGCTTCACATTATATCCACTGAAGGGTCTAAGACATTTTCTAAAATAACTGAAAATGTGTTCGTCTGAAACAAGATTGACATATGCATCTCGAACGGCTTGAGGGTGAGTAATGCATGGTTTGAATATCATTTTTGGCCGAACTATCCCTTTAACCTCAGCGTAAATACTTTGTCATACTATTTAGTTATGTATGCTCGTTACTTGGAGTTTGCTATTGTTACTGTAACGTTACTAGGATCTTGATCTAGATAACACAGTGTAATTATCGTTAATAAAATCACTAGTTTCCCACTTGTGGGAATATAGTTGGAATTGCCCCCTTCTTCACAGTATGAGACGCTGAGAGACGCCTGCTTGATATTGTCCCAGGTTAGAAAATAAGTCCGTGGTGAAATGGGCAGAGCA